CCACCCCCTGCCGCAGGTACCCGATGGCTTCATCTCCCACTTCTACTCCGTATCGGAGCACGTTAGCCCTGTCCTGGCCTTCGGCTTCCTCGGCCCCAAGCCCCAGCTCGCAGAAGTCTGTGCTTTCTTCAAGGTACTGGTACAGCCCCTCTCCCTGCCCGGGAGCCGGATGCTGGCAGCACAAGGGGCCCTGTGCTAGAGAGAGGACTTGTGGGCCCTGCAGGGTGTCCTCGGGGACCCAGGCCCACCGCCGCCCTGTGTCCCCAGCTCCAGATCGTGCAGTACCTGCGGGATATGTTTGACCTGGACAACGTACGCTACACCTCGGTGCCCGCGCTGGCCGACGACATCCTGCAGTTGTCTCGGCGCCGCAGCGAGATCCTGCTGGGCTACCTGGGGGTGCCGCTGGCCAGCAGCATTGGCCTGAATGGGGCGCTGCCCCGTGGGAATGGGCCCCTGGCAGAGCTGCAGTAGCGGCAGGCACAGACTGGAGGGGACTCTGGCTGCCCAGGCCCAGTGGGCCCTGGTGACGGATGGCAGAGAAGCCGCCCCTCCCTCGGGGTGGCACCAAGGGCTGTGACGGCCCAGGGCAGGGGCCCCACGCCTTCGTTGGGCCCCCAAGGCTGAGGGCAGCTTTCCCTAAAGAGGGTGCAGCCCCAAGGCGGTCCTGGGGGCAGTGGGAGAGGAAGGAGGGCACTGGGGACAGTTGGGCCAGAAGAGCCAGGCCCATGGGAGGAGGCGGGGAGGAGGGGTGGCGAAGGTCACAGAGTGCAAGCAGGAGCTCCCGTTGGAGTCCATGTGTCCGCTGGCCCCACCCTGGCCACGTCCTGCTGAGCCTGTGGTTCACTGTGGGTGGAGGCTCGGGGCGGCCAGCCCGGGCTATCCGGGGCCGGGGCAGAGGTGGCTCCGTCCCCCACATTCCCGCCCTGCCAAAGATGGTCATTCCTCCTCCTCCCGCCAGCGCCACCACCAAAGAGGTCGTGGGGGTGCTGGCTCCCCCGCCCCGCCCCTGCTGTGAGCCCAGAAGTCCTGGATGGCGCCAAGCTCGGAGCTGGGGGCCCAGGGACCACTGGGGGCGCAGAGCACAGCCGGACAGAGGCTGCCGGGCACAGGGGTCCTGCAGTGAGGCCCGTGCCTGTCTGGCCGCAGAGTCCGCCGGCCCTGCAGACCCTGCAGACCCGTCTGCCAGTGCTTCTGCCGGAGCCGCACGTTTTATTTATTGCCTTAACACTAGACAGAGGTTCTGCCCCTTCAGGTTTTGGGACCTGTGGGGGAAACGGGCTCCTTTTCTAGGCTGGGGCTGGCCCCTGCTGCTGGCGCTGAGGCTTCTCCCTGGGGCGGCAGGGCCGTGAGGGGCTGCAGCAGGAGAGGGCCCCGAGCCTGGCCCCACCTCGCAGTCCACGGGCTCCGCTCAGCTCCGGGCTCCCCGCCAGCTGCACCTCACATTCCGATCATGTGCACCCCCGGCTGTGGGTGTGGCCCGCTTGGCTCCCTGTCACCGGAAGCGGCACTTCTGTTCATCACTTGTTTACACGTCTGCGCTGCCGCACTCACGGCTTCCACCTTCTGTACGCACAGCGCTGGCATCGACCTGAGTCAAATAAAGACCGAGCCCAGGAACCCAGGCCTGCTGCGTGTGGGGGCCTCGGGCTAGAACTGGGGTGGTAGGGAGCTTCGGGGACGGGAGAAGCCTGGGGAGAGGGGGCTGTGGTCTCGCTGGGGCCACTGGGCAGCCTGGTGGTATCCACACGTCCCCAGGCAGTGCAGTGCTCAGCGGCAAGCCATGCGTGGTGGCTCAAGCTTGTGATCCCAGCATTTGGGAGGCTGACACAGGAGGATCTCGAGTTCATTGCCAGCCCAAATCATATAGCAAGATCCTGTCTCAAAAACTCCAAAACTTTTGAGTGTAATGAAAAGTTAAAAGAAAAAACTCTTCCAAATGGGTTGGGGTTACATCCACCGTCGCAATGGCAGCCTGAGGCCTTGGATTTATCGCCAGCACTGCAAAAAGCAAAACTCCATAAAGAACACCCATAAAAACAATGGCTCTAGTCAGTACTGAACATTTTGTCATATTTATCCCATGCACATACTTTTCAAAATACTTCAGAGTAAGATTCAGCCATGAACTTTGGCTCGAAACACTTAAATGCACAGAACCGAGCCGGGTGTGGTGGCGCACACCTGTCATCTCAGCACTCAGGAGGCTGAGGCAGGAGGATAGCTGTGAGTTCGAGACCAGCCTGGGCTACATAGTGAGTTTCAGGTCAGTCTCAACTACATAGTGAGACCCTGTTTCAAAAAAACACAACCTGAAAAGGAAGTTCTTCAAAGCACAAGGACCTGAGTTTGATCCCTGGTACAAAAAAATAACAAAAAAAAAGTTCTTTGGCATAGCCAAAGTTGCACCTAAAAAAATGTGGAGTCTTAACATCTTTGCTGGGATTCTGAAGAGAAGAGCTTTTCATAACCCAGCCCCAACTAAAAAGGATGCACACCAGCTGTGGTGGTGCACATCTATGATCCCAGCTTCACACCCGGCGGGAGGCTGAGGCAGGAGGGTTTCTTGAGTAGCCTGGGCAACAGTGACACCCATCTCAAAAAGCAGGACAGCTGGGCATGGTGGCACATGCCTGTAATCCCAGCACTCAGGAGGCTGAGGCAGGAGGATCACTGTGAATTTGAGACCAGCGTGGGCTAGTGAGTTCCAGGTCAATCTCAACTATACAGTGAGACCCTGTCTCAAAAAAACAACAAACCAAACAAAAAGCAGGACACACTTTTGTCTTTTCCCTGTCACCAATTTGAAAGATGCTAGCTGAAGTAGTCATTCCAGATGCCAGTACATAAGCTGGATTTTTTTCTCATTTTTTTGGGTGCTGGGAATCGAACCCAGGGCTTCATGCGTGCTAAGCACATACTCTGCCATTGAGCTATGTTTTAAACGGCTTTGTTAAAGTATAATGTGCATACCGTATACGTACTTGCTTTAATAATTCAGAGGAAATGTTCAGAGGTGTGTATTAGCTACCACAATACAGTTTTATTTATTTTCAAGACAAGGTTCAGGCTGGCCTTGAATTCAGCGTGCATCTCAGGCTGGCCTCAAACTCACCGTGATCCTCCTGCCTCAGCCTCCCAAGTGCCTGGGTTTCAGGTGTGCGCCACCACACCCAGCTGCCATGCAGTTCTAGAACGTTTCCATCACTTCAGAAAGGCCCCTGAGACTCGCTGCACTGTGTCCCCGGCCACCCCCGACCCGCTTCCCTCTAGAATCATCTTTTCTGAACATTTTCTTTAAATGAAGATGTACGATTTGTGGTCTTTGGTTTATGGCTTCTTCCCATAGAATCATGTTCGGTTTGGTACCGGGAATCAAACTCGGGACCTTGCACTTGTGAGGCAGGCACGGTACTGCTGAGCTACATCCCCGGCCCTAATCAGTGTTTTACACTCAGTGATGATCGTGCTTTTGAAGCTAACAGTCACACAGAAGGCCGGCGGGAGCTCTGCTGAGCTGCCACCGGGTCCTGATGTGCACCCTTGAGGTGCGACCCCAGAAGAGTGTGTCACCATGGGAATCAGCAAATGCCGAACCAGGGCCTAAGATGGAGCTGTCCCAGGGCCCGGCCTCCTGGAAGCTGTGCTGGGCCTGGCTGGTCCCTCGCTGAGCTGGTGGTGACAGAGGACCACTCGCCTTTCTGGCTGGCATCCTCAGGACCCAGGAGTTCACAGCCACTGGGCTGCCCACGTCCCTGTCACCAAGGCCCACTGGTGGCCAGGCCGACCCTTGCCCTGGGACACAGGCCCTCAAGAAGCCTGGTCTCAGGAGCTGCCGAGGGACCCGCTGGGGCCCTGGGAGAAGCAGCCATCCTGAGACACAGGGTGGCACCAAGCCTGCACCTGCCCCCCAGGCCAACCCGGGTTCAAGTCCTGGCGCTGCCACCCACGTCCCAGGTGTACAGGGCAAACTCCAGATGGCCTGAGCCTCAGCCTGGCTGTCTCGTCTGTAACCTGGGCGTGGGGCCCAGGCTGCTGTGAAAGTGAAGGTCACAGGATGGACTAAGGGGGAGCCCCTCACAGGAGGCTCAGCAGGACCTGGGGACACGGGGAAGGCAGGATCCTCTCACAAATCCACCCTGCACTTCCCAGCCTAGACATGGAGGCGACCCTCCTGCCTCAGCTTCCCCAGTGCTGAGATTACAGGCCTGCACCAGCACGGTGCATGTCTTGTTTATGAGGCAGTATCAGGCTGCATACCTTTCTTTTGCGGTGCTGTGGATGGAATCCAGGGCAGGGCCTCATGCATGCTAAGGCAAGTGCTGTACCACTGAACCACCCTCAGCCCTACACTGTACACTTCTGACTTCTGGAAGGTTCTGTATGAACGTAATACTTTCTTTATTTTATCTTTTTGGTACCGGGGATCAAACTCAGGTTCTTGCACTTATAAGGCAGGTGCCAGAACAACTGAGCTAAATCCCTGGTCTTATTCATTTCATTTCATTTATTTATTTATTTTTGGTACCTGGGATGAATCTATTCATTGGTTTTTTTTTTCGTTTTTTTTTTTGTTTGTTTTATACTGGGGATCAAACTCGGGTCCTTGTGCTTGCGAGGCAGGTGCCGAATCACTGAGCTAAATCACCAGCCCTATTCATTTATTTTTGAGACAAGGTCTCACCATGTAGCCCAGGGTGGCCTTGAACTCACTATGCAGCCTAGCCTTGAACTTGCTGTGATTCTCCAGCCTCAGCCTCCCAAGTGCTGGGATTTCAGGCGTGTGCCACCATGCCCGGCTCTGAATATAATATTTTAATTAAAAAACAAAACAAGCCATCCATCTCTCAGGACTCTCCTCTGTCCTTGACAGCAACAGTGCCCTCAGAGCTTTGGGTGGCCAGGTCTCTGTCCCCCACAACCCTTGCTCCCTTCTCTCTTTGCCTGCCCCAGGACACTTGCTCCTGCTATTCCCTCTCCCCAGAAACCCCTGCCCTGGATACTCCCGCTCATGTGTCCTTCCCCGTGCGTGTCACTTCCCTGGGACCACACTGCTGAGGTGGGAAGACTCGGGCCTGATAAGCCTGTGTGCCAGGGACTTGGCTCTGTCACCTTGGGAGGGGGTGGCGGCCCTGTCCCCAGGAACTATTCTAGGAAATTCACAGCCCCTTGCTCACACCTCCTGCTTCTCAGAGGGCTAATAATGGCAATGCCTGAGGAAGCTGTAGGCAGGTGACAGGGGCTCAGTAACCCAGACAATCCAGGTTGGGCCTGCAGGGGTGGAGAGAAGGGGCCCGGGCAGGGCTGAGCAGGGTCCCGAGTCACCCTTGTCTCCCTGGCCGTGGTCCAGGCCACTTGGTCAGTGTGATTCTCCGGTTCGTTCACACATACAATCAGCTGTACAAGGAACCCCGAAACACAGGCGAATGCAGAGGCCGGCTGGGCATGGTAGCCCACACCTGCAATCCCAGCACTGGGAGGCCGAGGCAGGAGGACCTCAAATTCAAGCCCAGCCTGAGCAACCTAGTGATTAGTAGGACACTGTCAAAATTAAAAATCCACTGGGCTGGGCTGCAGCTCAGTCCGGGGGACCCGGGGTTCAATTCTAGTGCCACAAATACAGACTAAGAAAGCAGAGGTCAAGAGAACAATCTCGACCTAATGAATCAACCCAGGCTCCAGTGAGACCCAGGAATCTGCATTTCTCACGTGACGTGATGAAAACGGTCTGGTGTGGTTAGGACCAGTATAGCCAAGGAGGTGCCAAGGGAGGCCCTCACTTGGCCATGGGACCCCACAGACGTGGCCGGCACATGGGGCGGAGGGAAGGTGCCTGCAGGGCAGGAAAAGCCCACATGCAGCTGAGCTGTAACTGGGTGAGGGGAAGGTGGGTGGGAGGCCAGGCTGTTGGCTCAGGGCGTCTGGGGAAACTGAGGGTATCAGGAGGTGGGAAACTGCTTTCCTGTTTATGGCGCCCCTAAGATGCTTACATGGCATAGATAAGGCTCCACCAATGCCTCTTTGTTAATGAAGGAAAGATGTCAAGGAGTCCTTAACCTCAATGAAGCTGTTCGCCACCCACCCTGGTCCTGGGGATCGGAGCCAGGGCCTTCACACTGAGCTATGTCCCAGCCCCCTTTATTTTTTACTTTGAGACAATGTCTCACTAAATTGCCTAGGCTGGGCTTGAACTTGAGATCCTCCTGCCTCAGCCTCCCAGAGAGCCGGCATTACTGGTGTGTGCCACCATTCCCGGTGAAGTTTACATTCTCTTAGGCATTTTGGGGTCTCCTGTGCGCCCCTGCCCGAGGAGTCTCCTTCCCAGTCTACGCACTTTTTTGCTCTTTGAGACAGGGTCTCACTGTGTAGTTGAGACTGACCTGGAACTCACTTCTCGAACTCGCAGCGATCATCCTGACTCAGCCTCGAGTGCTGGCATAACAGGTGTGCGCCACCCCGCCCGGCTCCCGGCTCACACACTTTGAAGAGAAAGGGAAAAATAAAATTCACCCTGGATCTTTGGTTTCCGTTTACTCCTAATGAAAAGCGTGTCGGTTCAGACCCGGTGGTGCTGAGGTTCCTTCTCCAGGGCGAGCGGGCACAATCCCTGGCAAGCAGCTCCCGCCGACCGGGCGGGATACGGGTAGCGAGGAACCCTTTACTGCTGGGCTCAGGTCCCAGCCAAACCAAAGCTCCCACCAAAGTTCAACACGCCCCCCAAACTACCTCCTGATTGGTCCGCCCTGCCTACACGGTAAACCAGTTTCACTTTTTGATTGGCTGTCCTGCTTTCTGTTCCTCACCGGAACCCTCCCATTTCTTGATTGGCTCGACAACTACCTGCACTAGCCACGGATTGGGCGCCGGAGGGGCGGTCTGGAAGGCTCCTAGGGGCCCCGCTCCCTGGTTGGCTCCTCGGGCCAGCCACACGGCCTGCACGCTGAATGGCTGCGCCGCTACCTGTCTCGAGCTCCGATTGGATGCGTGGCACCTCCTTTGCGTGATAGGCCAGGACCACTGCCCCCCTGGCTCCCCATTGGCTGCTCCGCGAAGCCCGGTCTCCGGGTAAGATGGCAGCGGACGGACAGTGCTCGCTCCCCGCTTCATGGCGGCCGGTGACCCTCACTCACGTCGAATATCCTGCAGGTAAAAGGCGGCGCCGG